TCAGACATTCAAGGGTGCAAACAATATTTAAAACATTTCTTCCTAAAAACATTCCTTGAAACATATCAAAGAGCTAACAGGTATATCAAAAAAGTGGAAAACAAAGTTAAAATTAGATAAATATAAATAACTATGGAAATATACATATGTATTATGCCAATGCCAAAAAACACACTTGAAGCTACTGAATATCACACTATACTTATGATATGTGCATTTTATAATTATTAAAATACACATGTGTAACTTTGTGATATGAATACGTATTTCATTATAACATTAAACATTCTCTGGTTCCATGCATACCTGAGACAAGTCTTGTGGAGTAGGTGGTCAGTAATTTTCCCTTGGCTTCACCCCAATACTGATTTGTTTGCTTCTGTTTTGAATGTTCAGAATGCTTTGAACCACACACTGTTGATGTCATATTTTCATAGACTCTAGGGCCAGATTTTCATTACCTAGAGTTTCCAGGGATCTTTTCTTTGAGGTAGGGGTAGAGTGGCAGGATATAGAAGATATTTTTAAGTGCTTATTTTGTTTTTAATTTTTAATTTTTGTGGAGGCATATAGTGGTGGTGTATAAATATTTATGGGATATATGAGATACTTTGATACAGTCATACAATATGTAATAATCACATCAGGGTAAATAGGGTACTCATCACCTCAAGCATTTATCGTTTGTAACACAAAGGATACTATTTGTGTTATACTCTTAGTTATTTTTTAAATGTACAATTAAACTATTGACTATAGTCATCCTGTTGTGCTATCAAAAACTATAAAAGTGCTTACTTTGATTAAATTTATTAAGACCACATCATATCCCAAATTAATAATCTTTCTTAGCTAAGTTGACTGCTTTGATAAGGAAAGAAATTCACACACAAACTAAAATGGCAAATATGCATAGAGGGTACAAAAAGAAGAAAGGTTTGACTCCAGAATTTCTCCATAAATGGAATTTATGGACAGTCTTATAGGAAGTAGAATGCAGGAGAATGATGAAATTTTCTTGAAGGTGCATTCCATAGAAAGCATACTGTTTTTATAGAATTTACCTTTTTATATCTATATACTAAAAATTGTTCATGCTTTTATTTATATTAATACTTCACATAGATTTTTAATGATGGTACCCTATTGTTATGATTATGATTATTTTCATTTGGTTTGGTTGTGTGGGAGATATGATGATACCGAAGGCAGTTTGGATAGAGCTAAAGACATGTCACATCTTGACAATGGCTGGAGAAAGGCCTTCATAGTCGGTCAAGGTATAAATACTAGCAATCTGTTTTCACCCGACTCCAAAGCACTTCTTAAATCACATTAGAACTCTAAAATGTAATGAGAACCGGGTCACTATTTTGCAATCTCTAAATGTCAAATTAAAATATGAATCAGGGATTGTGTAGTCAAGTCAATGGGAACTCTGGCTTGAGTAACATATTTTCCCTTTGAGGCAGTGTACAGATTACAGAAGGTGTTAGCACAGAAAATTTAGCTTTGAGTGGGACATGCAATTAATTCAAATTAAAGAATCTGAACTGAGTGTTCTTTTTATTTTCAAGACATGTCACTAAGCAGTGAAAAGCCAAAAAGATAAAGCCAAAACTTGGAAATAACCCACATGTTTTTCAGTGAGTGAATGGTTAAACAAACTGTGGCATGCATACCGTGGAATGCTATTTAGCAATAAGGAGGAACAAACGATATAAGAAACAATTTGGATAGATCTCAAGGACATCATGCTAAGTGAAAAAAGCCAATATCAAGGACACATACTCCATGATTTTATTTATAAGACATTATAGCGATGGAGAACAGATAAGTTGTCAGGGATCAAGTTCAAGGAGAGCTGGTCATGGTAGTAGTGGTGGTTGACCAAAAAGGAATAGCAAGAGTGAATTTAGTGTGGTAATGGAGAGTTCTATGTCTTAATTGCTTCTGTTTTCAAGCTACTTAAAATGTATTAGGGCGGTAGACTTACATAAAACTCTCCAAAAAGATAATTCGGAAGCATAATAAAAAGTGATTTAGGCTGGACGCGGTGGCTCATGCCTGTAATCCCAGCATTTTGGGAGGCCGAGGCGAGGCGGATTGCCTGAAGTCAAGAGTTCAAGATCAGCCTGGCCAACGTAGTGAAACCCCATCTCTACTAAAAATGCAAAAAAGTAGCTGGCCGTGGTGATGGGCGCCTGTAATCCCAGCTATTCGGGAGGCTAAGGCAGGAGAATTGCTTTAACCTAGGAGGCGGAAGTTGCAGCCAGCTGAGATTGCACCATTGCACTCCAGCCTAGGCAACAAGAGTGAAACCCCGTCTCAAAAAACAAACAAACAAACAAAAAACAAAAACAAAAAGTGATTTAGAAGAAGGAACGGTAATTCTAGGGCATATAGTTCACAGAAAACATTTCTGGTATTGTGGCCAGACCTTGGTAAATATGGGAAACCTTCCTATGAGAAGAGAATGCAGAGGTGATCAAAGTTGAACAAAGCCCTGATGGTGAAACAGGTCCCTTGTTCTTTGGTTAATGAGTCTCAGAAAGGCCGTCACTTGAGCAAGACTTTGCCTCTCTGAAACTGATTATACCGTTTGAAAGAAATTCACCGAAGTTCAGAGTCAGAATTTACATTTGACATAAATTTGTGTTGAATGACATTAATGTTATTGTTTACCTTGTTCTATTAAAAATAGCAATGGCAAATCAAAACCACAATGAGATACCATCTCACACCAGTTAGAATTGCAATCATTAAAAAGTCAGGAAACAACAGGTGCTGGAGAGGATGTGGAGAAATAGGAACACTTTTACGCTGTTGGTGGTATTGTAAACTAGTTCAGCCATTATGGAAAACAGTATGGCGATTCCTCAAGGATCTAGAACTAGATGTACCATATGACCCAGCCATCCCATTACTGGGTATATACCCAAAGGATTATAAATCATGCTGCTATAAAGACACATGCACACGTATGTTTATTGCGGCACTATTCACAATAGCAAAGACTTGGAATCGACCCAAATGTCCATCAGTGACAGACTGGATTAAGAAAATGTGGCACATATACACCATGGAATACTATGCAGCCATAAAAAAGGATGAGTTTGTGTCCTTTGTAGAGACATGGATGTAGCTGGAAACCATCATTCTTAGCAAACTATCACAAGAACAGAAAACCAAACACCGCATGTTCTCACTCATAGGTGGGAACTGAACAATGAGATCACTTGGACTCGGGAAAGGGAACATCACACAGCGGGGCCTATCATGGGGAGGGGGGAGGGGGGAGGGATTGCATTGGGAGTTATACCTGATGTAAATGACGTGTTGATAGGTGCTGACAAGTTGATGGGTGCAGCACAGCAACATGGCACAAGTATACATATGTAACAAACCTGCATGTTATGCACATGTACCCTAGAACGTAAAGCATAATAAAAAAAAATAGCAATGGGATATTGAAGCTTGGGAAACTAGAGTAACCTGGTGAGTCTGTTTCAAGGTGGTGAGTCAAATTTCTTGGTTTGTATAAGTAAGAAAAATAAGGAGAAACATTGTCAACATATCTAAAAATTTGTATTAGAAGTCTGTGGCCAAGTTCCCCAACAGTAAAGTGTTGCTAGACTCCATTCCTGCTTGGAAGTTATCTTAGTATTCCAGACAAAATAATGAAATGTATTATAATTAATCTGACTGCACCTAGCTCTAGTATTAGGACAGTTTCTGGACCTTAGAGCCCTCCAAGGCATGATTCTCCTCCTGAAAGTAAGCTTTTTAAGGCTTCTAGAGTCATCAATTATTATTATTATTATTATTATTTTTTGAGACGGAGTCTCGCTCTGTCGCCCAGGCTGGAGTGCAGTGGCGCAATCTCAGCTCACTGCAAGCTCCGCCTCCCGAGTTCACGCCATTCTCCTGCCTCAGCCTCCCGAGTAGCTGGGACTACAGGCGCCCGCCCCTGCGCCCGGCTAATTTTTTCTATTTTTAGTAGAGACGGGGTTTCACCATGGTCTCGATCTCCTGACCTTGTGATCCGCCCACCTCGGCCTCCCAAAGTGCTGGGATTACAGGCGTGAGCCACCACGCCTGGCGAGTCATCAATTATTTAGCCTACATAAAAATGTATAATAAAATATGTATTCTTTTATGTTTATCTTCCTTTACTGAATGTTAAATTTGTGAGATTTAGACAAGTTGTAACATTATATCATTACTATATTAAAAATTTTAAAGTATAAATAAATCACTCATGTTACTACCCTGGCACAACTAATTTTATTTTTTATATTGCTTCAGTTTTCATTATATACAAATATTTTATAAAGTCAAATAATTGTTTTAATATTTGTATATATTTGCAATCACATAGTTCTACCAGTTTCATTTTCTTCTCTTCACACATAACATTATATCATGGGTATTTTTCCATATTATCACATGGTTTTCATAGTGACCATTATTCCCCATCAATACATATACATTAAATTGATGAATGCTAGTTTTGAGAGAAGAATGGCTCCAGGGGCCAGCAGCTTGTGGATTTGCCAGCAGAGCACGGCAGTATTATGGAGCTGGCTCTGGATTTTCCAAGGATCATCTCTGTTAGAGAGTGCAGAGGAAGGATATCGGCCTGCATCAGAACACTTGATCAGATTTACAAACTTGCTCAGAATCTTTTGTTGACATCTTCTAATCCATTTTCTATGCAGCAGCCAAACAAAAATATGGCGATCAGGTTTCCGTTAGGTAAAATATTTTGGTGGCTTCTCATTGCCTTTAAGATGGAGGAAGAAAATGCTTAATGTTTAGAGACTAGCTAGCCTAGTAGTTTCTGCTTCTATCTTTAGCTTAATCTTTTATTGTCAGTTTCCTGTCTGTCAGTTTTTCATGGAATGTTCAAACCCCTCAAAGAACAAAAAGCCTGTAAAGGGGGCATTACATGCTAAACAAAGAAGCCTCCCTATGATTATAAAATGATATTGATACTGTAGAATTTATTTCTGCTTAAATAAGAAAGATTTTATGCATGTATCCTATTATGGGTTCAAGATTCCGTTTACCCAGATAGCCAGGGATAAGATTATAAGAGGAGATGGCTTCTCTGGAAGAATCTTTGGGGACTTTTTTGAATTTCTCATGTTGAAAATACCTAAAAAGTAAAAATGTCTGGTATATCTTCAGGATAGCTAAGAAACTTTTATAAAGAAGCTACAGGCCCTCCTAATCCCACACTCTGTCCATTGCCGTAGCAACCCATATAAATAAAATGACAATAGAGGTTTCCATATAGGACCTTAAAGGAATTGTTCCTTTGAAGCTTTAGACATTTCTATACTTCATGGTACGCCCTAAAAATTACAATTTAATTAGACTTAAATATCAGAGTGGCAACTTATTTATTTTTTGCCCAATCTACCTCATTGTTTATAAGGACCTGTAGATGGTCCCATGCAAAGATGTCTCTAAACATAAATAACACTAACACAATTAACTTGGAAAACAGACTCCATTGTGCATCTCTCCCAGGGGGACAACATCATTGTTGGTTACTATTTTTTCTAAAGTCCCTTATGGGCTTGGAAGCAACTTGTAACTGAAAAGTAAATGCATTGCATTTAGGAATATGCCTTCATTAAAGCTATGATTTCACTGTACATCCGTTGAGGGGCATCAAGGCCCCAGACAAAATCAAAGTGGTTCCAATCTGGCAATAGCTTAAAGTAATGAAGACTCTTGATTTGAGGGAGTATCCTGGCCACATCCTGGGGTGTTACAAGGACATCATGTCCACCAGCCCAAATAGCAGTAGGCACTTTCATGGCAGTCAGGTCATATATAGGCGGATGACTCTGTAGGAGAGAAAGCAAGGTCATACATGAGAGGAAGCTCCTCAAAGCAATAACCACAAAGGCTGCTAAATGAATATGGACGATGGCCATAGTTGTGTTAGGCACCAGTGACATAGGAAGAAAACATACAATGTTTTCAATGGTCTCTACCTTGAAGAAATTTGCAAAAGAGGGAGAAAGGCAAGATAGCAAAGCAAATATTTGTATACAAAGTAAGGTATGTTAAATGCCATAAACACTCCCAAAATAAAATGGAAGTAAAGACAAAAAGCTATTTCCACCTGAGGGTTTCATAAAAAGAGGGGTCCCATGAAATGACTCTTGAGGGAAGGTTGCATTTCGACAGCAGAGATGAGGGTGGGTGGGAGGCAGGAAGAGTTTGTAGACTATGATCAGGAATGGCAAGATTCCCAATATACCTGGAGAACAGAATATGTAAGGGGATGTGATAGGACATAAACTTGGAGGCAGATAGTCAAGGTCTGAATGTCAGGCTAGGAAATTTGGACGTATTTCGGAAGTTTTGGAGACAAGGTAGGGTCATTTCTCAGAGGTCTGTCTTCAGACTACCGTACGGGCAACAGTTAATGGAATCACCTAAAGAAAGAACAGGTTGAAGGCAAGTCCTGAAAAAATCTAGATGAGTAGTAGAAATGGTCCAAATTAAAGCTATTGGGATGGCTGACTTTTCCAAGGAAGAAAGAGAGTTTTGAAGAATCCCTGGGGAATGCTAATCATTTCAGAGCAGTGAGAGGAGGAGTAGCCAGTGCTTGGGACAAAGGGAACAATCACAAACAGAAGGAAAAGTCAGACATCACTGTGGGAACAGAGATAATGCTGTGAACTTGAGGAGAGAGCAAACTGTTGAGACTAGTTTTTTGGAGGGAATGTAATAAAAATTGGCATCAACTAAGATTAATTCACAAAATAGGACTGGCTTGGAGCAGAGTAGGATCAGCTAACTGTGGATAAATTCTAAGGACATTAACACTCTCACATACTTTAGTACTTGACCATAATGATCTTGAATGTGTGTGTTTATTTTGTTTCAGTGTCTTGTAAATGTAAACAATTTATAAATATAACATGTTTATTAAAAATAATGGAAGAAAACAGACATATGTGAAGTCCAAAATGAGAGTCCCTTAGTGTTTCATGTCCATCCACTTCTTTTCGTCTTTCTTCCTCTCTCTGAAGATAACCACTTTAACATTTATTTTTTTTCTAGACCTTTTCTAAGCATTTGCAAATACATGCATTTGTGTCTAAAAATAGTGTCAGCAGCAGGGAAAAAACTTTTAGGGGTGATAGAAATGTCCTATGTTTAGATTGTGGTGTGGTTACACAAATAGATATATTTGTCAAAACTCATTTAATGGGACACATAAAATTGGTAATGTTATTATATGTAAATCATGTCTTCAACTGATTTTTAAAAATAAAATATACATGGTCTATCTCTTGTAGTGGTTTTAAGGATTAGTAGAATTATTCCTCTAACAGGCCAATTCATTACTAAGAAATTGATTAGTCTGATTGTTTTGATCCTCAGAAACAACTTATTAATAATTGATCTATAGTTGCATTAGTAAATAGCTTAAAATATGATAGCCTGGGAAAATACTTAGAACAATTTAATTTGTTTAGTTCATACTTACAAGCCAAGCCCCTGGTTATGAGAACAGAAAAGTGGTGACAGGATTAATTAAAAGTACAGTGCTAAATGAGTCTACAGATTTTTATGTCATAAAGCTATATGGAAAAAGATGCCTTATGACCCAAGTCTTCAACGTTGGGTAATACTTATTCAACTTTCATGTGGAATTCTAATTTTTCTGTTGGCATTAAAAAGTATATATTCATTTATGCTGTAAAGATTTTTATGAAACAATTTCTATTATTATGTAGCCATTAAAAATATATTTAAAAATCCTTCAGTAATGTTAGTCATCTCTTACTATAGCTTAAGTAAAATAGAAGGATTAAAAGTTGTATAAAAGCGATATAATACTGAGAAAATTGGAATAAATACACCAAAATGTTAGTACATCTAGTTATCTCTGGATGGAAGGATTACACATGATCTAATTTCCTTTGTATGTGCTTCTTTAATTTATAAATTTTCTGAAATAAATTAAAATTAAAATTAAACTTTTTTTGAAAATGTTCTATCAGTATAAATGCCACCAAATGACAGGTAGGAGTCTTTCCACCCTCAAATAATTTTTTATTGTAACTTATCAAAATCAGCATTCTGGGGTTACTGTATGTAGCTCACCTGATTGTAATGTTTCATATTATCGGCTTCATTTCCCCAGTCATAAGCTCTGAATTCGTCAGATTGGTAAAGCTGAAACAAATGTTTTTTAGAAAAAGAATAGTGAGGGTAAGAATCATGAGAGCTAACAGCAAATTTTAGAAAAATACTGTATGCTAGGAAGAAAATAGGGCTCCTAGATCACCAGAAGGATGTAAATACCCATTTTACAATTATGACAAGTGGAGCTCAACAGAAAAACAAGCAATAACCCCCCTTTGGTTTAAAGGAAAAGTTCATGGAAAACCAAGCCTCATTAGAAAGAAGTTAAATCCCAGATACTTCTCTCTGAAGAAGTCTCAGTTCTCCTGAGGCTTCCCTAGTTTACCTCTTGCTTCAGTTCAGGGCCTATTTTAAAAACTCTGATTTAAGATGGTGTTCATTTATGTCATCTACTTGGTCTGTACCATAAAATCCTTTCTCTTAAATTCCAGGGAAATCAAGGCATACAGAAGGCAGCAAGGACAAACTGGAAACAAGCTCTTAAGATTCTTAGGGTAGGCCTGTTAACAGGGTCAATTCTGTCTTTTTAAATATATTGAAAATAAGGATTGGAATGGTTTTCCATGACTAAGACTCTACCTGTTTTATATGCAGAATGTTCTGTATTGATGAACCAGTAGGAGCATGTGACATATACACATCCATTCGACTCTAAAGAAGATAAAACTCATATTACAGCAATTGCCCAACAAAATTTTGCCTTTCAGAATCAGAGAAAAATGATGCACGGAAGAAGCAAACAAGAATGGGGCTTCGAAAATAACGACGTAGACTTATCTAGATAAATTACCATTTATGTCAATACTTGAATGTGAGCGAACCACAGGCTGACTAATGGAATGGACTGCTTGACAGCAAACCTGTACCAGCTCTGAATCTGTAGGATAATTTGCTTATTTTCAAGTAGAAGGAACAGTAGTGGTCATCATGGAGCAAAGCCAATTAGGAGAGGTTCTATGCGCAAGTGTGGGGGTGATGCGTGCATGCGCACCCAGGTGCACTGTCACAGATTAGATCAGAAAACCAGGAGTTCAGGCCCTGTTGTTGTTAATGATCAGCTTCGTGAACTTGGCCACCATATTTAACATCTTTGAGTCTCTGTTTTTTCATCTATTAAATGAACATACTAAAAGTCATACTACCAATTTACTAGGCTTTTATGGGGATAAAATAAAATATTGCAAAAGTAAAGCTAAAAGCCAATTTTTTCCAAAGGTTATTTCAATATTTGTAAACATTATAGAGATGAAAATTATAGAGATAAAATAGTAATTGTAATTCTATGTCTTAGAAAATAATGAATCTAAGAGAAACTATTAAAAATCTTTACTTTGAACAAGCCAACTTTGAACAATGGTTCCTTATGGGTTTCAGTCTAACATAATTTAGCTTCTTAGAGAATAGGGGTACAGAACAATTATCTTGTGACTGACTTCACTGTAACAGCCTCATTGGCTGCTATTTGGAATACTAGAGACAACTATTCAACCACACCAGTCTGCGGATGTGAACTCTTCCTCCTCCTTCTTCTTGAATTCTCAATAATAGAAAATGAAGAGGTGATGAAACAGCACTGCTGCTGCTTCATAAAGAGGGGATCCCATCTCCCTTCCACCCTGTCCTGTTATTTTGTAGGTTAAGTGGTGAGTTTCATTTCAAAACAAAAGTCACCCACAAAGGAAGGAACATGTGAAATAAGATCAACGTTTATCTGTGCTTCTCTCCTTTTTTAGGATTTTATTTTTAATGCAATATGTTCAAATGCAATAAATTCAAATTGACTGTAGTAAGTTGTGGCTGACTGAGAACATGTAAGAAGCTACTACCCATTATAAAACATTCATTTTCCTAAATTTTGCCAGGGAATAGAAGAATAAAGCTGCCTATTCACTTCCCCAGTCTTCATATTCAAGGTTTGTTGAGTACCTGATCTTCTATGTATAGCAGATATCTACCTTCATGGTGCCATATAAATTTTAGGCTTTTTTTTTATTTCAATGAAGAATGCCATTGGTATTTTGATAGGGATTGCATTGAATCTATAGATTGTTTTGGATAGTATGGACATTTTAACAATATTGATTCTTGCAATCCATAAACATGGAATACCTTTCCATTTTTTAATGTCATTTTCAATTTCTTTCATCAGTGTTTTATAGTTTTCATTGTAGAAATCTTTCACTTCTTTGGTATGGTTTATTCCTAGGTGTTTTATTTTATTTGTAGCTGTTATAAATGGATTACTTTCTTGACTTTTTCTTTCTTTTTTTTTTTTTTAAAGATTATTTGCTGTTGGCATATTGAAATGCTGCTGAATTTTGTATGTTGGTTTTGTATCCTGCAAATTTAATGAATCAGTTCATCAGTTCTAGCAGGTTTTTTGTTGGAGTCTTTAGGTTTTTCTAAATATAAGATTCTGAGCAAAAAGCACAAAGCTGGAGGTATCACATGACCTGGCTTCAAATTATATTACAAAGCTGTAATAACCAAAACAGTATGATACTGGCATAAAAACAGACACATAGACCGATAGAACAGAATAAAGAACCCAGAAATAAATCCATACATTCATAGTCAACTAATTTTCCACAAAGGCATCAAGAACATACATTGGGGAAAGGACAATTTCCGCAAGAAATGATGCTGGGAAAACTAGATGTCCATATGCAGAAGAATGAAATTAGATCTCTATCTCTTGCTATTTACAAAAACAAAATAAAAATGGATTAAAGACAAATTTAAGACCTGAAACTATGAAACTACTAACAAACAAAAATTGCAGAAACACTCCAGGACATTGGTCTGGGCCAATTTGAGGTAAGCCCTCAAATGCACAGGCAACCAAAGCAAAGATGAACACATTAGATTACATCAAGCTAAAAAGCTTCTGCAAAGCAAAGGAAACCATCAACAAAGTGAAGTAACAACGTGTTGAATGAGGGAAAATATCTGTAAACTACCTATCTGACAAGGGATTAGTAACCAGAATATATAGAGGTCATATAACTCAATTGCAAAAAAAAAAAAAAAAATCTGATTTAAACATGGGCAAAAGATCTGAATAGACATTTCTCACAAAAAGACATACAAACTGCCAAGAGGTACATTAAAAACAATGTTCAACATTACTAATCATTAGAAAAATGCAAACCAAAACTACAATGAAATACTATCTTATTCCAGTTAAAACAGCTTTTATCAAAAAGATAGGGAATAATGGATGCTGGCAAGAATGTGGAGAAAAGAGAACCCTTGCACAGACTTGATAGGAATGCAAATTAGTACAGGCACTATGGGGAAGAGTAGGAAGGATCCTCAAAAACTAAAAGTAGAACTACCATATGATCCAGCAATTCCAGTGCTAGTTCTATATTTAAAAAAAAAAAAATCAATCCATGGAAGAGACATTTGCACCCCCATGTTTACTACAGCACTATTCACAATAACCAAGATATGAAATCACCCTAAGTGTCCATCAACAGATGAGTGGATAAATAAAATGTGGTACATTTTGACAGTGGAATACTATTCAGCCGCAAAAATAATGAAATCATGTCATTTGCAATAATGTGGATGAAACTGGAGAACATTACATTAAGTGAAATAAGTCAGGTATAAAAAGACAAATACTGCATGTTCTCACTCATATAGGGGAGTTAAAAAAAACTGACCATATAGAGATAGTGAGTAGAATGATGGTTACCAGAGACTGGAAAGGGTAGTAGGGATGGGGGAAGGACAAAGAGGCATTGGTTAATGGGTACAAAAATACCATTAGAAGGAATAAAGTTCAGCATGCACAATAGGATGATTATAGTTAACAATAATGCATTATATATTTTAAAATAACTAGAAGAGTCAAATTAGAATGTCTCTAACAAAAAGAAATGATCGATGCTTGAGGTGATGGATATCCCAATTACCCCGACTTGTTCATTACACATTGTGTGCTTATATCAAAATATCACATGTACCTCATAAATATATACAACTATTATGTACCCATAAACATTTTTAAAAGCAAAAATAAAATCTGTCTTTAAGTGTTTGGAATACCATATGAATTTATACAGTAAATAGATACATCAAAATGAGTCAAAGGAAAGCTGGCATTTCTTAAGGTATCAAATGGCCCTATAATTATCACATATACCTGATTCATATTTTTCTTGTTGGATCCAGCCCATAAGGACATAAATTCACTGCATATCAACCAGAGTATCTTATTGTTGCAGATTTTGATAGAAGGTATCTTCTTTTTCTTATCTTCTAAAAAGAAACCTTTGGTACCAAAAACAGCCTATGAAAGTAAATAATAATTACCTTTGAATGAGATAAAATATTTGCAAACTATGCATATTACAAGGGATTAGTAACCAGAATATTTAGGGAGCTCAACTCAATAGCAACAACAACAATGACAAGAAGCCCAAATAGCAAGAGCAAAAAACCAGAATTCAAGAATCATCTTCAGACTTCTTGACATTTCCTTCCTTCTAGGAAAGAGCCATGCTTGGGGATCTATTTGTACTACTGATTCGGTCAAGGAGACCAAATTATTCAGGAAAGGTGACTTAGGAATGTATCTCCAAATGAGGAAGATTATCAAACATTACTTACAAGGAGATTGCAATAAAGGCTGTCAATCCCAAATTCACTTCTCCATAGTGAAGCTTCCCTGTATTCTGTCCAGTCAGTGCTTGCCAATATTTTTTCTCATTAATTGGTACAAAATGTAAAACAGTTTTTCTTAAGGTCAAATAATACCTTGAATATGAGGGAAAATCGGGGTTTTCCATGTTACCCATGTGCACATTGCATTCGAGTAGTGTCCCAGATTAGCCAGCTCTCAGGCTGAAAAGTAGAGAATGACGAACCAAAGAGAAAGAACCATTGAACAGAAAAGATATGATAATGTCGCAAAGGCAGCACAATTGAAACTTCCAGGACTTGGGAAAGTAAACTTGGATGGGGATTCCTGGTGGGGTCTTAGAGCTTCTGGGGGAAACTGATGGAAGAAAAGAGCAGGAAATGGGACTTAAAAGTAGCAGGAATATTGACAGTGGGAAATGTGAAACTGAGATAACCCAGGAACATTATTTGCCTTATAGCTGACCTATGTAGGAAGGGCAACACATACAACACATATATGTATTTACAGATAGATGTGTCTCTCTCTGAATTTAATTTAATAAATTAGTTTGCTCATGCTGCCCAAATATAGAAAACATTAAAAACTAACTGATGTCAACACATTTTGAAATAAACTAGAAAAGCTCTTGAATAAGGAAGTTACATCATTTATGCTCTCAGTAAACAATACGATGAAACTATTATCAGACCAATCATTAGGCCCTATGGAAATTCTTCCTTGTGTTAGCTCACAAATAATTTTTTTTCCATTCCTACCACTCCACCCCAAACCAAGATCTCATTTTCTTATATATGAATTATTTTGATATTATAACTGGTCTCCTTGACTTCAGATTTGGCCCAAATCCATTTTATCCATCATCCCAAATTGAAAGGCCAATTTTGAATTTGATTAAATGCTATGTTCATTGTGGCAATGACCTTTGTAAAGAAACAAAAGCAAAGAGAAAAAAAAAAACCTCTTTAATAGATAAAATTCCAAATCCACAATTGGCAACCAAATGATTTTTTCAAGTCTTGAAAAATAACCAATAAATATTTGACTTAATACTTGAGTTGTAATACATTTAGGCTTTGGAATCTTAGCTTTAGTAAATTAGGGCAAGTTTCCATATTGGAAGCAATATATTAATTAGGTTTTTTTAATGTCAAAATTGGACACATCAGTGATTATGGGTAACTTGAAGTGTCTTTCATTTGGGCAATGTTAATTCATTGACCTACCTGACTAAATGGAACAAAAAAATCCTTGGGAAAACAAGAAAAATCTTTGTTGTCATACAGCACTCAGCTCAGCTACAGATTCTGACAGATACTCAACTCTGCTAATGACCTTGTAGAGTAAATTGTATTATAGAACTTACAGATACTATGACACAGATATACGCACACATGGAGACACACATACACAAGCACATGCCCACAGAGTCTAAGTTCTATAGATTTTATCTAAATTTCCTACCTTTACAGTAGATTTGAAAATAATAAGGATTTCTGATCCAAAATGAGATCCTCAGGTACATTTTGGTGAAAGGAGCCTACCTTGATTATGGAATTTGGAAGTAGAAAAAAACTGGTAAAAATGCCCGTGGGATATTTGAATGAGATCACAGGACCCAAGGCAAAATTCATTTTGATTCTTTGTGCCAGTTCAGGCATGGTGGAAAAGGCTACAAACCCTGAGAGAATAGGAGACAAGACAATCTTGTAAAAATAAGTACTTATGCAAAGTTTCTAACAAAAATGGGGCTCTGTTTAGTCATTTTTCCTTCTATCGCGATCATATTGGGGATGAATTGGAAGTCTTCTGAGTTATTCTATAAAGATAATCTGCCTTCAGTCTTCTCTGCTCTCAAGTCTCCAATTTTATTTTATTCTGCTTATGGACAATTTGACTTGGCTAGGGGAAATGGAGTAGCTGGCAGGGGAAAGGTGATGGTTAAGCTGTCGGAGTAGCTACTACTTATGAACTGAAGGTGACCTCACTTCCCAAGCATGGGGTAAATGCTGGCAACATTCTCATTTCGTCCCTAACTCTGAGATGCCAGAACGAATCACAGAGCTTCCGGAAGCAAATAACCAGTCACAGGAGGTGAACTGATTTCTTTCTACAGCATCACCCAGTTATTCCAACAGGTTTTCTTTCTCACTGTGGAATGAAATTTCACTGCTCCCAGTGGCTTGCTGGGTGTTTATCAACCCTCTAGACTCTTCCCTGTTTCCAGAAAGAAAGGGGTTTCCCTAGTGTCCATGATGGCCCAGTAAGGACCAGGCGTCTCCATTTGCTTTGCTCTTTCAGCAGTAGCATTGCACCCCTTTGTATCTCTGTGAGGATGGAGATCAGCACGACACCGGGTAGGCTAGGAGGAATATCCATATAATTTGGTTTCCCGAGGTCCCTTCCTGGGCCTCCACTGGTGTGTGTGTGTGTGTGTGTACTGAAACACTTGTTGAAACATTGAAACTGTCTTGGCCAGATAAAGAAGAACTGAAATAATTGACTGAACAATTGATAAAAAGACTCTGAATCAGGAATAGTACTTCCCCAGAGGGTGTTTGGAAATGTGCAGAGGTGAGATTTTTGGGGGTCACCCTGACTGCAGAGCCATGTTTAATGGGCTGGGACCTAAATGTCCTACAAAGAGTGGGTGCTCCTTACATAATAGAAATTGCTCTGTCCAAAACGCAAACAACATTCACTAAAAAATTTTATGCCCTAAATGTAACACAGAGCACAAATAATCAAATTCTCCATGTTTTTTTTTCTTTTTTTTCAGATCAAGTATAAGACCAGATCTAAGTCCTACCCACTTTCCAAAATCAACTAAAGTCATTCCTTCTCTACACCATTTCTCCAGAATCCTTACACACCCCATTGGTGAAATCAGATACACCTGGTTTGAATCTGTGTTCTGAACTTGTGTTTCTTCTTCTATGAGATGGAGATAATAACAGTCGGGTTGTTTTGAAGATCAGAGGGAGATACTGTGGGAAAGGTCCTGAACGCAAGACCGTACACATTACGAATGCTCAATACGTGTTAGATACTATAATTATTTGCCTATTAGTGGCATTTTTGATCTCCTATGAGTTCTTTGACACTTTTTTAGTATATGCTCTCTGATGCTAGCTAACTGCTTGTTCTGAGCTTGGAAAGTGCCTATCAATCTAAAGTACTAATTAATATATGTTACTGATGATCGTGGTGATAATGAAGATATTTCCCTAAACTAAAATATTGCATTTTCACATGATTTATTCTCTTAAAATTGGAAACTTTAGTGGAAATGACAAATTCAAAACTTTTATTAGTATGAGTTCCTTTCAACTTTTACTTGGAACTAGATTATTGATTTCTTTCCAAACTATCTGGGAAGTAAATTGTAAAGTAAATTAAGTAAAGTAAGTAAATTAAGAAGTAAATTGTCAACTTAAAAAAACTTAAAAAATTTCTACATACTGCTTACGTTTACTTGTTATTTCATAAATACTAAATCACACACTAAATAGATCAACTCAACTGATTTATTATAGTAAACTTTTGTGTTCCAACAAACAAATATAACCATGTCTTTTCAATTTGTTTAAATATAAGTATAAGCCCCTCCCTTTTATTTTTTAAAGATCCCATTTGGGTTGTGAGAAAGAGATGATTGATGCACATTCATTATGTTTCAGCCATAATCCATGGCATTAAATTTTACTTTTTCAGCTCAGAGAGAATCTAGAAACTTACTCTGCAGAATCATTTCTTTGAATTTGGAACACACGTTATTCCTGGGAAATTGCATCACCATAGTCAATATCCTGCTGTGACCAGAGACCCAGGAAAGGTTTGCCTTACATATAGTCTGTGCACTGCAAGCTCAAAGCTACTCAGAGTACTAGGGTTATTCCCAGCAGAGGACAGAGAATTGAAGGCACTATAAATAGCAGTTATTTTATTCCAACATAAAGGTGAACTCCTGTAAGACTCTGAGAACACTGACCCTCAAAAACATACCTATTGTAGTGCCAAGTGAATGTCCAATGAAATACAATTTCTCCTGACCAGTTTTATTTACAATGAAGTCTATGACTCCTGGGAGATCATATTTGGCCATTTCATCAAAACTGCAAAATAAAAAAGGGGCTTTTATAAATACTTGCAAGTTTAAGTTTAAAACTCACAGCACTTGCTCACTTCTTTTTTACACACAGATTCTATGCTGTTTACTTAGATTCAGTGTGTATTTCATTATTTATCCAATTATATGTAGGCCATTGTAGCTTTTTGTTTTTCTGCATATATACATTTTACTTCGTCATAAGACTTCCTCATAAGAGGAACACTTTCAAGACTTGTGTATGATGTTTGAAGTTCAACCTTATGATTCCTCCTCTTCCTTCCCTTCTCTTGCTTTTCTTTGCCCTCCCTTTCTCTATCTGGCTTGCGTGCTTCTACTTCTGAGTCCCCCACGAGGCTTCACAATTCTTAGGGCCATTTAACACCCATCTTTGGAAACAGGGTTTTTGTAAATCATGATTCTACCATTTATGAGCTTTGCAACTCTTGAGAAGTTACTGAAATGCTCTGAGCCTATGTTTTCTCATTTGAGAAATAAATAGGGTAGTGCCTGGTTTACAGGGCTGCTAAAGGGGTTTAATGGTATGAAAGAAATGACTCTGGCTGCTAGTAGGCATTCATTAAGATGTTGTTAGTAGTATTCCTGCCCACAAAGATACATATATATATGTGTGTGTATATATATATTTAATATATACCATATATTCCAATATTCCATAGTACCAGTATTTTGTTCTTCAGACAGGAGGAGCAAAAGGGCCTATATAACATTTAGTCAAATCAGGTATTCCGTAAGCCAGAAGCCTGTTTATTAAAAGGACGTGAGGAAATCTATGGATTGGGACTTCCAAGAATAGGAGAATTGTTGTGACACCTCCTAAAGACTAGTGATACAATACTTCCTGATGCTTGCCCCTGCCCAAGAACTCTGACCATAACATTGTATTCTATTCCTCCATTCTTCTCAAACTTTCAGTGGGTACTGAATGTTCTATTAATGTAATAGGAATACACACTCTGTTCTAACAGCCGGTTTACAAACCAACAGGGATCTTAGGCCTGAAGAAAGAAAGTCTATTGCAGGCATTAGCCTGTCCTCTAGTGACAGTGGAAAACTCTTCCATTAAAAGAAACAATTAAGATATCAAAAAGATTCTTCTTCATTGCCCATTAACAAGGTTTTAAAAACTTAATATTGGAGTTTTCGTGAAAATGGTACTATGTGCGATCTCAATCACAGTTTCTCTAAATCAGTACAGTCCTGGTCAAAATCATCTTTACGCAGTTGATTGGTCATCCAGAAGAAATGACTTGTAAAATTATCACTAAAATGAACATAAGCTTTGTGAGGTCCGAGAGTTGGTCTGTTCCCCGTTTGAGTGTTCGGGGCCTAGAACAGCGCATACAGTAGCCACTCAGTAAACATTGGCTGAATGAATGTGCACACTAGTCATGATAATTTCCTCAGCTATCTCTTTGGACATACTTTTAATGCATAAAATTGATGTAAAAATTGGATGTAAAAATGATCTTGTTGAAATGCCATACTTTGCCTGTGGGAGAATCAGTGAAAAATCAAAGCTTCTTGCTGTTTCCCTCCTTTGAGATGTTAACAGAAACTACAAGAAGCTATATGACTTCAAGCGTCAAAGATTATCATTAATAGCACCCACGTTATTTTTTAAAAATTGCCTCCAATTTCCCTGTTGAGTTTTCTTAGCTAATATTTACCTAAAGGCCCAGAATTTCTCATCTGTCTCTGAGAGTGTCTTGTGTCTTCTTGACCAAGTGTTTCCCCGACTGTTTCCCATCCATACATCATAACCTGCATCTGCTAGAAGGAATCCAAGGCTTCCATTGGCATAATTCTCAAGCCAGTAGGCATTGTCTGCAAACAGGGCATGCTGCATATACACAACTGGCCGGGGACCTGGGGGGAGAAAGGGTAAGATGAGAGAGGGAAGAAGAGAAAGAGAGAGAGAGGGAGAGAGAGAGAGAAATTTATGGTAAATAGAGCATGTCAGAAACATTACAGAAATACACACACATGCACACATGGTAAAACAAAAACTGTTTTCACTTTTCCCTTGTCAATAGTATAGAGCATTGTAATCAGGTAACTTCAGTTTCTTGAGCACATATTGTGTACCTGGTGCTATGTTGACCTATTTTTATGTATTAGCTTACTAAATTCTTACAACAACTCTATAAACTAGCTGCTATTTTGAGAACCCTCATTTTGTAGATGTGGAAACCAAACTTTATGTAGTTAAGTAACTTTCCCAGAGGGCCACCCAGATAAGAAGGCCAGAGCAGGGACACAAACCCAGTTCTTTTTATGTCAAAGCCTGTACTGGTAACTACTCTGCTCTATGTATTCGTATATACAAATTTCCTGGGTGTGAAATTTATCATGCTTACTCAAGTCCTATGGCTCTTCCAGAGAGGAAGAAGAGGTGAGTGTAAGTGGACACTGATTAGTTCCTCACCAAATTTCTATTCAAATCCCCATCCTCTGCCCAGTGGACAGCATTTAAAAACTACAATAATATACTCAGCTCAATGTCCCTCTGCCAACTTCCAGATTCCTGAGGGAGACAGAGCATTCAGGGAGATGCAAAGAACCAGGGTGGAAGGTCAAGTAAGGCACTATAATTTCATGACTAAGAGCACAGGCTCTGGAGCCAGGATGCCTGGGCTTAAATTCTGGTCTGTCAGCTTGCTATTTGTGTGACTTTAGACTTCTTAACATAACCGGTTGTGCCTTAATTTCATCATTTGTGAAATGGTGACTATTAGTGGTACCCATCTCATATTGTTGACGAGAGGTTTAACTGATTTAAATTATTTAGAACATTACATCTAATGAATGACCTTTAATTATAGATCTTTCCAAAATTATCTCTACTTAAGCAAAACCTTTCCCATAAAAGTTTTCTCCTTTTATATTTCACAACTCCTTCACATCTGTACCTGGGATTGCCAGATTTAGTAAAAAATAAAAACAAAAGTAAGCAAAAAGATCCAGGATGCTCTACGAAATTTTTATAAATAGTGATAATAGTGAATAAAGAGTGTATCTTAAAATGAGACTTATAAAAAATTATTTGTTGTTTATCTGATCTTCAAATTTAACTGGGTGTTTCATATTTTAACTAGTAAAACTACTCATATCTCACTCTCATTTTTCATTCTGAAACTGGAGATATAAGAGGGAGAGAATGTCAAACATGACCTCAACTGGTACTTAATATGTGTGGTGGGAGAAAAGATGCAAAATGAACATGGTAAGCAGCTGCCAATAAATTATTTGCTTTTGAACCATTGCATATATTTTGCTTATTCTTATTTCTTCTTCAGAGGCTTTGCAGTTAAATTTTCCCTTTAAAGGAGTATCATTCCCCTGCTGTGGCATGGCTGGCCCCTCATTCTAGAATTCAAGCCTTATTGACACCATACTCTTTCACTCCATGAACCATCTATCTCTTAGATCAAATGTATGTGGATGTTAATGTTTTCAGTCCTGGAAAACTTTTCAGAAATGCTGTTGTCATTTAACTAGATTGTTTTTTATCCTGCAGAGGGAGGCCCCTTGATTTTAGTGGGGGCAGGAGAGGCTCTTCTTGGGTGCCCCACAGTCAATTTCACACAACCCAGCAAATCTCCTTCTGACAATGAGGAGATCCATTTTCCTGGGACAAAGCAATTTTTCACATGATAAATCAGTAATGAGGTGACAAAATGTAGGCTCCGCCTTCCTGTTTACACCCTAACAAGTACCTCTGGTTGCAGTTAGCAAGATCAGTCTTGCTGTCTATATTTTTAGGTTCTTGTCTGTCTTCAGATAATTATCAGGCAAAGAGTAAGCCTCCCTGTTAACTATTTAAAGTCTAATCCAATAATTCAAACCAATTTTGATAAACTCTGTTGATGCATATCTAGCACTAAATTCCTCCTGAGAAGGAGGATGTCAGTGCAGTCCCCTTTTCAGGAGAGACATATCTTGTACCTGTGCTCCTAATGTGTCTTCGCCCATAGGGAATTCTGTTGACAAGGAGTATGTACCCATCTTCAGTGGTGACTTCATACTCTTCACTGGGATAGCCATTGTAGATGATGATTTCACTCTGCCCAGTAAAAATACAGTCATTAGTGGAACTTCTCCAAAGGATATAAAAAGGAATTAAAACAAACTCTCTATTGTGTGCTTATTAGGGTGAATTATCTGAAATTTATAACACTAGGTAACTGTAAAATTAATAAAGTCTTAATACAAAATAAGTAGAATGTTCAAAAATATCTACCTTTGGCAAATATTTTGGAGTGTAGGGGAAAATTTAGCATTGACCCATTCTTTCTGACAAAGCTGTATTCTCAAGTCAATTGTCTTTTGAGGCCCCTCTTGGTTTAAAAGTAATAGAACTATAGATCAATAGAAGACAATCACGTATATCAGCAAATAGCTTGATATTCTTAAAACATAAATTCAAAAGAGGAGTTCTATCTATAGAGAGAGAGAGAGATAGATAGATAAATAGATAGATAGATAGATAGATAGATAGTACAATAGCACAATTTTGGTTTCCATTACTGGACAGTATTCGTTTTTCAGCCAAAGATCTAACTAACTTGACTCTTGCAGAGGTCAAAAACCATCTATATTTTATCTGTTTTATCAGAGATTTTATGTTATAACAGAACCTTTTGTAACCTCATAATCCATTAGTCCTGCTTTATTTGATATTCTTCACAGTTTTCCATGACTTACAGTATTCATCCACACCTCAGGATTCACTTCATTTTCCAAATCAAGGAATCCACCAACATTTAAAGTTCCACAGATCAAACAAGTTGTTGTTAAAAGCAGCCACATCATAGAAATGCCTGGCATAAAACATTTAATATTCACAGATTAATTATATATATTAATGTTGATTAATGAAATAAAATGATTAATGAAATAATTAATAATTAATGAAAACTTGAATAGCACTGAAAGCGGATAATGTGTTAAAGGGAATAAATACAGTGAACTAACTTTGAGCACTATTAATCTATTTTTTTATATAGAAGTTGTATTTATTATAATCCAGTTCCTAAAATGAAATAAATTTAATCAAGTATGGAGGCATTTTTGGTCTGTAATCAAGACTGAATTGCTTTAAGTCTTTGTTTGCCTACAATTTGCCAAAATATCTAAAGATTCAGAGGACAGGTTTTCATACCACGGCCAAGTGAAAAGTGGAGTTATCCCCTAGCTAAGCCCCGTATGCCACAAAGTAAACAAGAAAAATGGATAAATAAAACTTTAACCAAACAAAAAAGCTTATGATTAGTTTCTAGTGATGTGACTATTTCTCATGTGGCACCCAAAGGCAAATTTTGCATATTCAATGTGCAGTCTCACTTCCTTGTCATGGTTTAAAAGTATGTCTGTTCAAAGATAGACCAACACTATAACACTAAACAGCATGCTCATCATATAAGTGCTGCAGTCAAATGGTCTAAATTTGAAGTCCAGCCTCACCACAAAATAACGTGTCTAACCTCAGGCAAGTGTTTTAGTAGCTTTGTCTCTTGATTTCCTTGTTAGTAAAATTGGGACAATAATGTAACCTATCTCATAGGGTTAGAGTGAGGATTAAGTTATATAACAGTGCAGTATAAGTTCTTAATAAATGCTTTCACTATTTTTCTTATAAAAGTGAGCGAGAGATAAATATTAGAGATAATTTACTATAACAAATTAAGATTTAACTTCTAGAAATGCAGAGTTTACTTCTGAAGCTAAATAGCTTTGCATACATTAGCTATGTGGTTGAAGATCATCTTATATCTGCAAATGTTTTGAAACTTTTCAAATTGTATGAAACTAATAATAACCAATAGCTACTGAGTGTCCTTATGGTAGGACTTGTTCTAAATAGTTCACATGTTATTTAAGCTCTCAAAATCTCCATAATTTTGGTACTATTATCCTCATTTTATCAATAAAAAAACAAAGGCTTAGAGAGATTTAAGACCTGCTCAAGGTCACAGAGCCAACAGGTGACAGATCTAGGATGGACACTCAGGCAGACTCACTGCAGAGCTCTTGCACCTGACTGTCGGTGCAACTGGCACCTTCCAACCTGCCTCCTGGTTGTGATAGATCTTCATCTTACCTAGTTAGATGAGCTTCACCTGCTCCCAAGGACTCCTTATTGATGAGGAACTTCTGAACTTTTGCTTTTGACATCAGGCTGAAGAGTAAGAGATGATTACAGTGACAGTTAGAAGCTAGAGAGATGAGAAACAGGAAGCTTGTGAAAAGGAGGAAGCTTTAGACTGAGACACACACCCAAGGCGTGTCCCTGACACACCAAATGCCGTGATGCACATGTAGGTTGGGAAATAGTGGTCTACATGATGCCAAATAACCAGTTTGACAGAATCCTTCATGTTTCCACTGAGTGTCTGTCATTGTTGGGAGGACTTAGCAATATTTTCAAACCAGTGTGTCAAACAGGGAAGTAGAACATACTCAAGATCTTAATGGGCTATTATCAGAGATAATAGTATCTCTCTTCCCCACTTGATCCTTCATGAGGATCAAATGGAGTAACATGTATTAAGGAACTAGTGCCAACCATGCAGTGTGTAGGGATGTGTGTGACTGTAACTCGTTTGAGAAGATGAGGGAACCCTGACTGCAGGATCCTGAAACCAGAAGGAATTTGGAACTAGCAGTATGGCAGAGGAAACTAATTCACATGCCAAAGGGATTTGGCTTGCTGCCAACTTTGGCACAGTAACCTTTGTTTACACCAGTGGTTAAAGGCAGAAATGGAGGCTGAATAATGACAATTTAGCTCTAAGCCCCACATGAGATACCAGATAATGGAGGTACATGTGCCTCAGTTTTCTACTTCACTTAGTATGCCTATGGAGCTTAAGCAGTGACTGAATCTCTTTCATCTCCCAGCATGAAGAAGGGTAGGGAAAACTAGGTTGCTACCCAGCATCACATAGGAGTTTCAGTTCTATTAGTTTGGATTTATCCTCAAATCCTTAAATCTTCTCAAAAAAATGATATTTTGTATTGTCCAAATTGTAATACCTGTTTTAGTGAAGTGGGAAATTTCATGCCAATTAAACAAATGTGGAGTAAAAGGAAGTGTTCAGCTGGTCGGAACAGGGAAAAGTTGTGTACCACTCATTCCTTAATCATTTAGTTTTGATGAAAGACTCAAGCATGTTTTGCCCTGATTGATAGTATGATGGCATAGGTATGTGGATTTTCCTGGAATTTCTCATGGTTTTTAACTTCATAAACAATCCTTTCTAATAAAACTTTAATGAACTCTTTAGAAAGTTCTAGGAAGCACTATGTTATTATTATTAATATTGATTTGTTACCTTGACTTAATATGGAAGTAGCACAAATATAGTTCAATTTCACAGATCTTTACAGATTGTTGTCTAGCTCAAATCTTAAAAGAGTTTCTACATCATTGACTCATATTCCTTCCTCAACTTTGAGTTATTTGAATAATCAGGAAAATTCTTGTAATTCTTTGGTTTGTACAGAAACAAAGTAATGTCAAAGAAATAAAGCTGAACTTTCTCCCAATGCTCCATCATTCTTCCTATATAAGCTTGCTATTTTAATAAGTATTTATTACTGAATATTATATTTTTTCTATATTATATATTGTTCTACAATATTCAATAATATATTCTATATTACATATTTTCTATATGATAAAAGTATATAGAAAATATATAATGTTATAATATTTCTATTTTATATTTCAATACTCATACTGAAATTAATTTAAATGAATAAATTAAAACTTGTTCCTTGGCCCTGTGGGATACAAAATGGTAGCCCCTACTCTCTAGAAGCTCAAATTTTTCCTTTTTTTTTTTTTTTTTTTTTAAATAAAATTAGATGATAGTGGAGCTAGAAAGGGGTAACCTCTCAGAAGGCATGTGGTATTTTTGAAATCTTGGTCCAAGTATCATATTATGGCCTAAGCTAACTGCTTAATGATGGCTGCTCATTCAATTATGAAGATGGTGGAACATACATGGTTGAACATAGATCCTTGACTTCAGAATCTATCTGTAAAAATGATTACTATTTTTCTTCCAATGTCCTATTCAAAACACATTTGCTATTACAGTGTGGTTATCTTTTTGCTTGTTGGATTGCTTCTTTCTCCTCAAAGGCTGCTTTTTCAAATTTTCTCTTGAAAATAACTCAAAGTTAAAAAGGTTAGGCCATAACCAGCAAAATAGAAACTAGTGAGAATTTGGAAAAAATAAATAATTTGAACCTCACGCTTTTGAGACAAATTTCACACTACAGTAAAAACTGTGCATGAACAAGAACCTGGATTTTGTCTCTTGCTCACTAATTTATCTAATTTATTTTGCATCCTAAAATTCAAACATTGCTCAATAGAACCATAAGTGTCCATAAGTATATATGTGTGTGTGTAAAATTATTAATTTGCACACTTTTGCTTAAGAGAAAATATGTTATATTTTGAAGTTTCATCTTTTTACTCATAAAGCAATGTTGGCAATGTTCATAATTTCCACAAGAAACTGTTGTTTTTGAGATTACGTGTTAGACTAGAACGTGCTTTCTTTTAGCGTCAGTGAAAATGAATTTCTGTTTCAGTGCCATCTATACTACATCCATCTTTAAAAACACTAATGGCTATGATAGAGAGAAGAGAGAAGTGACAAAAAGGCCTATCAATCATAGTTAGCTAAAATATTAAAGGTTTTTGAAGAGGCCATAATAGTTGACTGAACACACATCCATCCCAACTCAGAAAGTGTTCAAAGGAAAGATCACTTACATTTAAAGAGAAATTATTACCAAGAGTGCTGGCAGCTGTCCTTGATAACATCCATGTTCTGGAGTGGCAGGATCAGGACCATCCACATTTGTGACAAAGGTCAAATCTTTGTGAGAATGAAGAGGAAGGGCCATACCATTGAATATGAAGAAAATTATATCATTTTCCTGCCCCAGGCATATTTACCATCCTTCCTGCTTAATGTACAGCATGTATGTATGGTATTCTCTAGAGCTCATTTTGTATTTGAATTTCTGTAGGAGGTATATTCAAATGTAGATTCTTTAAAAAAAAAAAAAAAAGACAGGACACTTAGCTAGACATTCAAGTTGGATCTAGTTTTAAGTTGTCTCATTGAACTTGCAAGAGTAAATAAATGGTGATTGGAATGTGCAAAGAGGTAACATTGTTGTTTTGATATATGCTCCTGGTTTCTTCCTGAGTTAATATTCTATTTTGAGTTACTATTAAATCACCTTCAAATCTCACCAGCACCCCTGAAAATAGATAAATGGTTTTTAGGGTTAGAGTTTCTTGATTTCATTCCTCCTCTAATCACCATCACCATCAAAAATTTTTGCTAAGTGAGTAAATGAGTGATTGAATAGATGATTCTGGAAGTCCAGAGAATGCAGCTTAGTTACTGAGGAATACTAATAATGTTATTATAAATAATAAAAGCGAATTATTTATTATTTATTAAGTACTTAGTATGTATCAGGTATTTTGCTTTGATATGCTACCAACTTGGCTATAAATTCCACTGGCTTTCTTTGCTGTTACAAAGGAAATTTTTCTTAACATTACCTGCTAAATTTAATAGAAGACAGGAAATTCACAGGAAAAATTCAATCTTGTCCTGTTTTTTAACTAAATTGGAAGAGATACATTGCTATTTACAGATTGCAAAGCACACGAATACAATTTAAAAATTGCTACCTGATACCAGTTTTTCTCTTCTTCAGCCTCCAGATTATTCTTAAACCATAGCCACAATCTGATATCTTTTACAGTCTGCATTCTTGCATTTTTCCATACATTAAAAAAAATCTTGTAAATGCAGAGTTACTGCATTTTCCTAGAAATAACCAGAATTTTTAGGGGATAGTTAACTTACTCTTTTCACTATCTCAGCATGGTCCAATAGAAATATAATGCGAATTAGGTATTTAATTTAAATTTTCTAATGCCCACATTTTAAAAAAGTATAAAAGGTGAAATAAAATTTAAAAATACATTTTATTTAAACCAATATGTTCAAAATATTATTTCCACATATAGTCAATATCATTATTAGTGAAATATTTTCTGATACGATTTGGCTGTATCTCCACCCAAATCTCATCTCAAGGGAGAGACCTGGTATGAGGTTATTGGATCATGGGGGTGGTGTCTGTCATGCTGATCTCATGATATTGAGTGAGTTCTTATGAGATCTGATGGTTTCATAAGCGTCTGTCGTTTCCCCTGCTTGCACTTCTCTCTTGTCTGTCACCATGTAAGATGTGTTTGTTTCCCCTTCCACCATGAGTGTAAGTTTCCTTAGGCCTCCCCAGCCTTGCAGAAATGTGAGTCAACTAACACCTTTCCTTTATAAATTACCCAGTCTCAGGAAGTTCTTTTTTCTTCACATCATAGCTATTATCATCATTTAAAATTACATATGTGATCTTATCTTTTAAGTATTCTTGAGAATAAGACTTCAATGATTTTGTTTTCAAAATCCTGCGAATGGCTAGGAGGGCCTAAAACCAGACTCTGCTTATCCCTTTGAGCTCATCTCACCCCGTTCTCCATTTGACTCCTTGGGCTTCTTTAATTTTCTTAATTTAGCCTAGCTCCTCACCACCTGAGGTGGTCCCCTACCTGTATTATCTGGCACATGTCATGGATATCAGCCAAAATTTCATGTCTTCAGAGAAGACTTCCCTGTCCACCCTGGTGAGGTGTACTTTTTGATGGATTCATCACAATTATTAAATTAAAATTAAAGGTTTAAGCATGTAAATTAGTATAGGTTGAATATTCCTAATCCAAAAATCCCAAATCTGAAATGCTCCAAAATCTCAAACTTTTTGAGCACTGAAATGCCACAAGTGAAAAATTCTACATCTTACCTCATATGATAGGTTACACTCAAAACACAGTCAAAACTTTTGTTTCATGCACAAAATTATTTAAAATGCCATACAAACTTACTTTCAGCCTATTTGTATAAAGTGTATATGAAACATAAGTGAATTTTATGTTTAGACTTGGATTCCATCCCTAACATATCTTATTATGATATGCAAATACTCCAAAATCCAAAATATGTCTGGTCAAAAGCAAATTGGATATAGGATACTCAAACTATAGCTGTATAGTATCTGATATTTTTATTACTCTGAGCGCCACTTGGGCAGGAACAGCGTTTTCCTTATCATTCTTCTTGTTCTGAATGGCTAGTTTATAATACATACTTATAACATTAAAGCATAAAGGTTAAGAGCTTGATTACCTAAAGTCAAGATTTCAGAGTTCAGATAACTAATATTTTAGAGCAAGTTGCCCAGTATCTCTAAACTTTAGTTTCCTAATCTGTAAAGAAGAGATAAGAATGATACCATGTTATAAGGCTATCATGAAGATTAAATGATACAATTCATGTAAAATGCTTACACTATTATTTCCTTATGGAAAAGCCTCAGCAAACTTGAATGATTGTGGAGGGGATGATTTTTGTCAAGCCGTATACTTCTTTTTTTCCATGTACACCAAGCAACAGTTTCATACTAGAATTTCCCATGTGTTTTATTACAGGAAAAGAAAACACTAGTCTGGCCAAATTACAGTTTTTGATAAAAATTATAAACATGTGTTTTGTTTTATGTTCTGCATTTCCTTGTACATTTCAGTTGCATGAATCAGCATGTGTAAGTGCAGTCATTTCTGGGGCAGTGACAAGATCAGTGTCAGGATATGCCAGTCTGATATGCCATACTCACCAAAGAGGTGTCTCCCTGTGAAGCCTTTGGTGCCCTGCCAGCCAGCCTTCCCCTGCCAAGACTCAGATATCCTTTAGTACCCTCCCCATTATGTCTACAGCCCCCTTATTTATGCCAGGAAATTCTTCATAAATGAGTCTTAGCCAAGTTTATATTAATTACATGTTGTAAAATACCCCAATTTCTGCAGGGCCCAATCAAGTGCTTCATAACACTTGACACTCCCAGTCACCAAACATATATTCATTGATCATTGACTCTGTGCCTGGGTGATTGTTTTCCAACCCTATATAAATAAATAAAAACAAATTCAGCAATCAGCAATGCAAAACTCAATGTCTGGCATTCAATATAAAATTATTAAGCATGCAATAAGGCAGGACCCATAACCAGGAGAAAAATCAATCTATAGTACAAATTCTCCAACGACAGAGGTGACTGAATTAGCAGAAAATATGTGAAAATATTTTTTAAAATATATTTACTCAAGAATTTAGATCTATCAAACTTTTAACCAAAGAGACAGAATAATAATTACCATCTTATATTAATATTATATATAATTTTATTATAACAGATAACATATATGCAGTATATTACATATTTATTATACATTATTATCTAATCTTTAATACATCATAATTATATTTTAATATATTGTATATACTATAATTATAAATTATATATCATGTTATATAATTAATATAATCAAATATATAATTAATGTAATTGTTATACAATAATAACAAATAGTAGTAGTAGTTTACTATTGCTGATAACAAATTACCACAAACTTAGCAGTTTAAAACAATATACATTTATTATCTCACGTTTCTGTGGGTCAGTAGTCCAGACATGGTATAACTGGGTCCTCTCCTCAGGATCTCCCCAGGTTACCATCAAGGTGTTGACCAGGATGCTCGCGCAATGGAGGGTTACTAGGGAAGAATGGGCTTCCAAGTTTATTCAGGTTTGGGCAGAGTTCATTTTCTTGTGGTTATGTGACTGAAGGCCTTGGTGTTTTGCTGTTTTATCAGCTGGAGGCCACCCTCAGGTTCTAAAAACTATGCTCAGTTCCTTGTAAGGCAGTTTTCTCAACATATCTGTTTATTCCATCAAGCTAACAGGGAGAATCATTTGCTCTAATCTGCTAAGATGACGTGCAGTGGCATGATCTTTGCTCACTGCAACCTCTGCCTCCCGGGTTTAAGTGATTCCCCTGCCTCAGCCGTACAAGAAGCTGGGATTACAGGTGTGTGCCACCATATCCAGCTAATTTTTGTATTATTAGTAGAGACAGGGTTTCACCATGTTGGCCAGGCTGGCCTGGAACTCCTGACCTCAAGTGCTCCTCCAGCCTCAGCCTCCCAAAGTCCTGGGATTACAGGTGTGAGCCACCAAGCTGGGCCGACTTCTTATATAGTGTAATCAGGATTGACATCTTATCACCTTTGCCATATGGCATAACCTAATCAAGGGTGTGACATCTTACACCTTTGCCAGTTCTGTTGACTTGAACAAAGCCTCATATCCCACCCACGTTGAAGGGGAGGAGATTATACAAAGGCATAGATACTAGAAGATGGAAATCACTGGGGATCATTCTAGTGTCTGTTCATCTCATTATTATTATGAAAATCCACTTGCTTAGAGAAAGGAAAGTACATTTAATTTTTTAAATATGCCTCCATCAGTCTAATTAGGTCTTGATAAATTTCCTGAGGTGCATCCTCTCCAAGGTAAAAATCCACATGATTGTAGTGTGGAATCAGCTTGTAATAAATAAGGTTGGCAATTTGAGGAAGTAAATTTTTGACATCCTTGGGATCAGCCACAATGTCCTGTCCACCATTCCATATTGCTGTTGGAACTTCCATCTTAGTAATGTTGTATAAAGGAGGTGTAAGCTAAATGCAATAAAAGAGAGAGAAAAAAGTTTTTACAGAAAATTACATTATAGAAGTAACATTAACTATCAGCTGTTGAGCAAGTTCTTTAAATGCTACAAGTGTACAATTAGTTTACACTTAATGGTATAGAAACATTAAAATGTTAAAAATACTTGAAACCACTTTTGTGCACTAATATGAATTGTGAATCGAAAAAACAATGATTGTATTTCTGACTTGCACGTTTGGGAAAATAAGAAAAGATTCTAGAGGAAGAGGGTTCTTTTTTCCATGGGGGATCATCTTTCTAGTCAGCATTTGATCTCAGAATGTGACCTTTTCAAGCAAAATGTCGGATAGGATAAATATCCTTTCTCCTAGGCACAAATCTGGGCTCAGTGGCATTATCAATATTTGGGAATCAGCAGACTCTTCAGGGAGCATTGAGACCAATGCATGAAAGACATTTGAAGTATGATGTTAAAAAGGAGTCAGTCTGTTACAAATAACTAGTGACTATAGTACTCTATAAACTCTCAACAAATTTTCCCTTACTGCTTCTTTCTTGTATTGATTCAACACAATCTCTGGTCCAGGTAACCGGGTCTGGCCAGTTCGTCCTCCATTCTTCAGGCTACAGTGATTGTATGAGAGATAGGCATGTGACTAAAACTGGGCCAGAGGCCACTCTAGAATGCTTTGCCATAGCCATTGAGAATATAGTATCTTTTGGTGGAGGTTGGGGTGAGGGGGCCGTTGGAAAAACTGTATGAACTAAGTACATCTAGTCACCACTGTTTCCTCACAAGAGACAACCGTATTCTAAAATAGTGTGTGTGTGGCATATCCCCACCCCACTCCTGCCACGTACATCTAACTATAGCAGCTGTGGAGAAAAGTCAGATATTTCACAAGAGTTAGAATTGAGTTATACATTTTCATTATTATAGTTGTTATAGTAGTTGTTATGGTGACATTAAAAATTCCCACATTAAAAATTTTTTGGCTGGGCATGGTGGCTCAAGCGTGTAATCCCAGCACTTTGAGAAGCTGAAGCAAGAGAATCGCTTGAGCCCAGGAGTTCAAGATCAGCCTTCACAACATAGTGAGACCCTGACTTTATTTTTAAAGGTAAAAGAAAAAAAGAAAAAAAAAGAATTTTTTTTTCCCCAAATTTCTACATCCTAGATTTGAAAAACCCAAGTATCATTGAAGACTACTTTTTCAGTTTAAGCTCAGTCTATCGGCAAGAAGCCAAAATCATTATTGGATTTCCTCACACACTTGGGAATAAAATAACAATAACAACAATACACATTTCCCTTTAATATAAAACTTTCTCTAAGTTTTCATAGATCTGGTGACACACCAGATCAAAAGTAGTACTATTTGCTAGGGAATGGTGTGCCCTGGCAGATACTACTACTTCCTAAAAATGATACTTCTTACTTATATATTTAATGATCCAAATAATGGTATTTTTAAAAGTGGCTAGTAAATGACATCCTAAAGAACTATTAGGCAGTCCTAGTTATTAAACATAGATAAGAAGTCAGAGAATATACTTTAAAAACAAACATGTTTTTTGTTTGTTTGTTTTTTGTTTTTGTTTTTCTGAGAAGGAATAAGTGTAGTGGAGAAGACTAGACTTTAAATCCAGGAATCCTGGGTCATATTCTGGTTGATTTTATTCCCCTTCCAACTTTTATTTTAGATTCAGGGGGTACATGTGCAGGCTTGTTACATAAGTAAATTGTATATCATGGAGATTTGGCTTACAAATGATTTTGTCATCCAGGTAATGAGCACAATACCCAATAGGTAGTTTTTCAATCCTCACTCTCCTCCCAGCCTCCATCCTCAAGTATGCCCCAGTATCTGTTCCCCTCTTTGTGTCCCTGTAAACTCAATGTTTAGCCCCCACTTATAAGTGAGAGCATGTGATATTTGGTTTTCTGTTCCTGTGTTCATTTACTTAGGATAATGGCCTTCACCTGCATTCACATTGCTGCAAAGCACATTATTTCATTCTTTCCCATGGCTGCATAGTATTCCATGGTGTATATGTACCATATTTTCTTTATTCGATTCACCTCTTATGGGCATCTAGATTCCATGTCTTTGCTATTGTGAATGGTGCCACAATGAAATACGTGTACATGTGTCTTTTTGATAGAACAATTTATATTCCTTTGAGTATATACCTAGTAATGGGATTTGTAAGTCAAATCACAGTTCTGTTTTAAGTTGTTTGAGAAATTGTCACATTGCTTTCATTTACATTCCCACAAGCAGTGTATGTGCATTCTCTTTCTCTACAACCTCACTAACATCTGTTATTTTTTGACTTTAAAATAATAGCCATTCTGACTGGTGTAAGATGGTATCTCATCATGGTTTTGATTTTCATTTCTCTAATGATTATTGATATTGACCATTTTTCATATGCTTTTTGGATGCATGTATGCCTTCTTTTGAGAAGTGTTTGTTCATGTACTTTGCTCACTTTTTAATGGTGTTGTTTGGTTTTTCCTTGTTTGCTTAAGTTTCTTATAGATTTTGGATATTAGATCTTTGTCAAATGCATAATTTGAAAATATTTTATCTTATTCTTAGGTTGTGTGCTTACTCTAATAGTTTCTTTTGCTATTCAAAAGCTCTTTAATTTAATTAGGTTCCACTTGTCAACTTTTTGTTGTTGTTGTTGCAATTACTTTTGGCATCTTTATCATGAAAGTTTTGCCAGGTCCTATGTCTAGAATGGTATTTCCTAGGTTTTCTTTTAGGGTTTTTACAGTTGTAGGTTATACATTTAAGTCTTTAATCCATCTTGAGTTAATTTTTGTATATGGTAGAAAGAAGGAGTCCAGTTTCAATCTTCTGCATATGGCTAGCCAGTTATCTCAGCACCAATTATTGAATAGACAGTCCTTTCCCCATTGCTTGTTATTGTCAATTTTGTTGAAAATCAAATGATTGTAGGTGTTCAACTTTATTTCTGGGTTCTCTAACCTGTTCCATTGGTCTACGTATCTGTTTTTGTACCAATACCATGCTATTTTGGTTACTGTAAACTTGTAGTATAGTTTGAAGTCAAGTAATGCCTCCAACTTTGCTCTTTTTGTTTAGGATTGCCTTGGCTATTCAGGCTTCTTTTGGGTTTCATATGAATTTTAAAATAGTTTTTCTAATTCTATGTCAGTTGTCATTTGTAGTTTGATAGGAATAGCATTGAATCTGTAAATTGATTTGGACAGTATGGCCATTTAAATGATATTGATTCTTCCTATCCATGAACATGGAATGTTTTTCCATTTGTATCATCTCTGATTTCTTTGAGCAGTGTTTTAAAGTTCTCATTGTAGTTGAATCCCTGAATAGACCAATAGCAGGCTCTGAAATTGAGGCAATAATTAATAGCCTACCAACCAAAAAAAGTCCAGGACCAGATGGATTCACAGCTGAATTCTACCAGAGGTACAAGGAGGAGTTGGTACCATTCCTTCTGAAACTATTCCAATCAATAGAAAAAGAGGGAATCCTCCCTAACTCATTTTATGAGGCCAACATCATCCTGATACCAAAGCCTGGCAGAGACACAACAAAAAAAGAGAATTTTAGACCAATATCCCTGATGAACATCGATGCAAAAATCCTCAATAAAATACTGGCAAACCGGATTCAGCAACACATCAAAAAGCTTATCCACCATGATCAAGTGGGCTTCATCCCTGGGATGCAAGGCTGGTTCAACATTCGCAAATCTATAAACATAATCCAGCATATAAACAGAACCAAAGACAAGAACCACATGATTATCTCAATAGATGCAGAAAAGGCTTTTGACAATATTCAACAGCCCTTCATGCTAAAAACGCTCAATAAATTCGGTATTGATGGAACGTACCTCAAAATAATAAGAGCTATTTATGACAAACCCACAGCCAATATCATACTGAATGGGCAAAAACTGGAAAAATTCCCTTTGAAAACTGGCACAAGACAGGGATGCCCTCTCTCACCACTCCTATTCAACATAGTGTTGGAAGTTCTGGCTAGGGCAATTAGGCAAGAGAAAGAAATCAAGGGTATTCAGTTAGGAAAAGAAGAAGTCAAACTGTCCCTGTTTGCAGATGACATGATTGTATATTTAGAAAACCCCATTGTCTCAGCCCAAAATCTCCTTAAGCTGATAAGCAACTTCAGCAAAGTCTCAGGATACAAAATTAATGTGCAAAAATCACAAGCATTCTTATACACCAGTAACAGACAAACAGAGAGCCAAATCAGGAATGAACTTCCATTCACAATTGCTTCAAAGAGAATAAAATACCTAGGAATCCAACTGACAAGGGATGTAAAGGACCTCTTCAAGGAGAACTACAAACCACTGCTCAGTGAAATAAAAGAGGACACAAACAAATGGAAGAACATACCATGCTCATGGATAGGAAGAATCAATATCGTGAAAATGGCCATACTGCCCAAGGTAATTTATAGATTCAATGCCATCCCCATCAAGCTACCAATGAGTTTCTTCACAGAATTGGAAAAAACTGCTTTAAAGTTCATATGGAACCAAAAAAGAGCCCGCATCTCCAAGACAATCCTAAGTCAAAAGAACAAAGCTGGAGGCATCACGCTACCTGACTTCAAACTATACTACAAGGCTACAGTAACCAAAACAGCAAGGTACTGGTACCAAAACAGAGATATAGACCAATGGAACAGAACAGAGTCCTCAGAAATAATACCACACATCTACAGCCATCTGATCTTTGACAAACCTGAGAGAAACAAGAAATGGGGAAAGGATTCCCTATTTAATAAATGGTGCTGGGAAAATTGGCTAGCCATAAGTAGAAAGCTGAAACTGGATCCTTTCCTTACTCCTTATACGAAAATTAATTCAAGATGGATTAGAGACTTAAATGTTAGACCTAATACCATAAAAATCCTAGAGGAAAACCTAGGTAGTACCATTCAGGACATAGGCATGGGCAAAGACTTTATGTCTA